GCCCCCACGACCTCCCCGCTTCTCCTCACTCATGTTCTCGGTGGCACAGGTCCCCCTGCCTGGTGTGGTCTCATTCGGTCTTCTGTCTGTTGTTCGCCTCACCACGCCCATCAGGGAAGACAGGCAGGGGCCTGGTCCGCCCTGTGCATGGCTCTGCTTGACACAGACTCCATGTTCTTAATTATACACTGAACAAATGGGACTTCAGAGATAGGCACCCCTCCCCGGCTTCACTGCCTCCAGAACTGGAACTCACAGGCCTTGTCTCCCATTTGTGGTTCAACCCCAGAATTTGTTTCAAACATTTACCAGAACTTATTTTATAAAGGCAGACACTGCATAAGAAATGGGGACTCATCGTCAAGTGCTCCCTGGCTCCCAAGCTGTGTCAGGCGCACGGGTGATGACAGGCTGAAACTTTATTTTAGGCCATTGCACACAGAGAGCTCTCCCTGCGCTCCACGTGCTGTTCTCTGGGCTGCATGGATCCGGCACTTCACCATCACCAGTGTGGAGAGGCGGATGCCAACGGTGCTTCTATCTCCACCCTGTAAATGAAAAGTAAGGCACGGAGACGTTCAGTGACTCCCCCAGCCTCACGCAGCTGGAGAGCTGCAGACCTGGGATTTGAACCACTCAGGCAGCAGGGTCAAACCTCTACCGCGGTGCAGTCCCTGCCACAGGACGGTGCAGGGAGGGAGGGGCCGGGCTGAGCAAGCCCAGAAGAATCAGAAAGGGGAGGCGGGAGGCTGTGTGAGTTTCTGGAAGAAGTTGGCAACAGACTGGGGGTCCTTTCAGGTTCCAGCTTGAGCAAATGAAAATAACGATACCCACAGATTGCATGGAACATGCTTACACTAAAAATGAAAAAAAAAAAAAAATCACTTTATCTGAAGTTCAAGTTTAACTGGGAAACCTGTATTTCATCTGGCAACCCCTAATTTGAAAAATTTCTTCGAATATCTTTTCAGTTATTAGCTAATTAAACAATCTTACATTTTGTTAAGTTGGTTGGTGCAAAAGTAATTGCGGTTTTTGCCATTACTTTGAATGTAGATTGAAAGTACAATTGAAGCTACTAGATGTAGTTTCGGAGAACTGTGATGTTTGAAGTAGACCGTACAGGGGAACACAGTTTGGAGATTCACAGCCATGCTCTTCATGCCTAGGGAGACGCCCCATTTCCACGCTATTCCTTCCAGCCAGGTTCTAAGAAAGGGCTGAGGATTCATCAGATGCCTGTGACAAGCTTTGCAATCCTCCATGAACCTGCACAGGAATAGTTATAGAAGGTTTATGTGTATTTGCTAAAATGTAGGGGCAACTGAGGGGTCCTGCAGTGGGTGAATGGATAAATAAACCGTGGGACACCGAAACGAAGGAGGTTATTCAGCACTAAAACGAGAGGACTGCCCGGCCATGGAAAGACATGGAGGAACCTTAAATGCATATTACTAAGTGGAAAAAGCCTGTTTGAAAAGGCTGCACAGTGTATGATTCCAATTATATGACTTTCGGGAAAAGAAAAAGCTACGGAGAAAGAAAAAAGACCAGTAACTGCCAGGGGTTAGCAGGGAGGGAGGGAGGGAAGAAAAGGCAGAGCACACAGGATCTGTAGGGCAGTAAAAATATTCTGCCTGATACTCCAGGGATGGGCACATGCCATTATGCATTTGTCAAAACCCCAGAACATACATAAAGCCTGAGCTCTAATGTAAACTATGGCTGTTGGATGGTAACAATGTATCAGTGTAAGTTCATTGATTGTAACAAATGTACCATTCCACTGCAGGATGTTGATAGTGGGGGAGGCTGTGTATAAATGCAGTGGCAGGGGTGGTATATGGGAACTCTGTGTACTTTCTGCTCAATTTTGCTGTGAAGTAAAACTTTTCTTTTTTCTTTTTTTTGAAACAGAGTCTCGCTCTGTCACTCAGGCTGGAGTGTAGTGGCGCAATCTTGCCTCACTGCAACCTCCGCCTCTTGGGTTCAAGTGATTCTCCTGCCTCAGCCTCTCGAGTAGCTGGGATTACAGGCGCGAGCCACCACCCCCAGCTAATTTTTTGAATTTTTAGTAGAGATGGGATTTTACCATGTTGTCCATGCTGGTCACGAACTCCTGACCTCAAGTGATCTGCCCACATCGGCCTCCCAAAGTGCTGCGATTACAGGTGTGAGCCACCACTCCCGGCCAAACCAAAACTTTTCTAAACGATAAAGTCTACCGGAAAAAAAAAAATCCTGAAGTGCCCAAATGCAAATTTACATATGTGACTGAGTTTTAAGTATTTGAGTTAAAGTTCAATTGTACCTTCTTTTTTAAAAAAATTTATTTTAAGTTCCAGGATACAGGTGCAGGATGTGCAGGTTAGTTACATAGGTAAATGCACGCCATGGTGGTTTGCTGCTCCTGTCAACCCATCACCTAGGTATTAAGCCCCACATGCATTAGCTATTTATCCTGAGAGCATCTTCCTTGCATAAAAGAGCCTGTTGATTTCTTCTAAGGGGTCTTTTATTACTATTTATTATTTTTATTTATTATTATGTTTTTCAGAGAGGAGTTCTCGCTGTGTCGCCCAAGTGGAGTACAGTGGTGCCATCACAGCTAACTGCAGCATCAAACTCCCGGGCTCAAGTGACCTTCTGCCTCACCCCCTCAAGGAGCTGGGTGTAAATGCTTTTTGAGGCACTTCTAACTTGAAAACATGGTACGGAGGAACTGAAGAGAATGTCCTTCCTAGCACCACCTGCTTTCTAAAATTGCCACTGGCAGATTGTCCCTGGCGTCTTGTGACCCTCTGGGGGCCGTGCCAGGCTGTCCCTCTGAGAGACCTGGGCTCTGTTTCCAGCACAGCTGGGGAACGGAATCCTGCACACACTTCCACCGCTGGGACCAAGGCTACTTGCATAAAAACACTCTCTGCAGATCCGTGCTTCCATGAAAGGGGGAAAGGACATCCAACCTCTTTGAGAGATTTTATCACCTCCAAAATGATGTTTGCACTCCTTTTGCCAGCCTGGTGAAAGACAGACCCACCCACAAGCAGAACTAAGGCTCCTCGGTGTCTCTACATATTAATGTTGCGGACACCACACAGAAAGAGAGAGACAGAGTTATGATGGGACCCACAGGAGTTGCAAATAAGCACGTTGTCAGGGCTACATCACTGCTCTGTTCCTTCCCAGTGGGAGACTCAGGCCAAGCTTCTTGAACATGTCTGAGCTTCTGTTGCCTCCTCCGTAGAAGGCGGGTCACATTTGCCTCTGACGGTTTGTTGTGAAACATATTTAGCTATGACTTTTAAGGCGCTAAGCTCAATGCCTGGCACATCATAGCACTGCTAATTACCATCATTAATTATGTCCTAAGGAGGTCAAACGGCACAGTACCAGTTACTGGCAGACATGAGTAAGTCGCTTGAACACCGAACACCATTTTCTGTATCGGTCAAGTGGGCGGCATTCAGACGCTTTTGTCTGTCTCACAAGCGTGTTGTGAGGGTCTCATAAAGTTTTGGGCATGTAATTTCGAAAGGTGGCAGCCACGTTTTGAGTGCTTGTGATGTGCCAGGCACGTGGCTACGGGGATGCCTTCATTCGCTCAGGGAGCGGTTCCTAGTGGCTGGTCCCTGACATGTGTGTGCTGGGTGGGGCTGGGGGATGTCTTCTCCTAAGAAGTGAATGCACCGCCAGGCTGAACGCCCTCGTTTTCTTCCCGCTGGACTGGGGCCTGGGAGGGCATGGACGTGATGGTCTGTGCAGCCGGGTCTCCTCGACCCCTAGGGTCTTCCCGACCCTTAGGTTGGCAAACATGAAAGACATAGACGAGCAGACGCAGGCTGCCACGTTCGTTTTCTCTCAGGGTATGCAGAGGTCAGGGTAAGAATCCCTGACCTCTCGGGCGTTTCTCAAAGGATGGCCTCTGGCCGTCCGCAGCGCAGTCGCCGGGGCTGGGCTGGCTTCGAATCTCCATCTGCCTGACCCTTTAAAGAGCTGCCGGCTGAGTCCAGGTGTGAGCACACGAGGGTCTGCAGGGTCTCAAAGGAGGGAACCGCGTCCTGCAGGAGGAGCAATCAAGGCCGGCTTTCCGGAGGAGGCGGCCTCTAGGACTGGAAGAGGAGGTGGGATGTGTTTCAACCGGCAATGGGCCCCGAGAGGCCAGGGACTTGTTCTTTCAGTAACTCCAAGGCTTGGCAAAACGCCTGTCACGGGCAGCGCTCGACAATGACCAGCTAACAGCATGAAC